CCCTTCCCATCCTGTCGCCCACTCGCTCTTCCGGACGTACAGCCGCACCCGCGCAGCTGGCGGAGCTACAGAGCCACCGGCCTCACGATAGATGTGGTTGAGATAAGGAAAAGATGTAGCCAGTATTTGAATAATACTTAATTATTTAAATTGGAGCAAGGCGGTGACTGTGAATTGGGTCAATGTAAAAATAATGTTTTGAACTATTGCTTCTCCACTTTTCTACTTTCCCGTGTACATACGTATACACGGAGCAATATACGTAGTATAGTGAAAGTTATGCAAAGCTGAGGAAAATCAATTCCGAGATTTCAACGGAAATACACTATTTGGTGTCACCTGACACCGATAAAGGTTTTTTTGTGTTTTTTGTTTGTTTTTTCTCCAAAACGTCTGTCCGTTCGTCTATCCGTCTGTTCGGCTGTCTGGTGTATGTAATCAACCTGCGCCTAAACCATGCGTAGGATTTTATCAAATTCAAGAAACCTCTGTCCATTTGGCCTGAGTGTAAGCTCTGAGATTTTGAATATCATTCATTAGTTTTTGGGAGTACTTTACATGGAACCCCCTGGAAGATTTCCGAAATTTTCTCAAAAACGGCTCCAAATTATTATTATTTATTTAAATTTCTTCTAATGAAGGGTAGTAATATAGCCTTATAAACGTGGCACTTATAAGACAGTGTAAATCAGATTTTGATCCGATTCTCATGGTTTTAATCAGAATTTTCGATAATTTTCAAAAGTTTGAATTTTTTCAATTTTTTTCTACACTACAAATTAAGATAGAAATTTAAAGAATGAAATTTGTTGTCCAAAATTAGTTCTTTCATTTTCACTTTCATTTTTTTGAAAATGTTAATCGTTTTCGCGCAATATTGCGTGTAATTTCTACATTTTTGAAAAATAATACAAAAACACGATTTTCTCACAAAATGCTCAATTTTTTTACTTTTAACTTTTGGCAGGGATTGTAATAAATGACTAACTAAGATGACATACATGTCATATTGCTCTGTTCTTTTGTTTTTTCAAATATTTACATTTTTTGACTTGTTTCTCGCATCGTTAATTTTTACATTAGTAGCACTTTTTCACATTATTATATTTATGAGAACATGTGCTTTAAATAATGTGATATAAAGTTTCTCGAAAACTCTACCGAATTTACTGTAATGCTTATGCGCCATTTTCGTAAAAACCGCTCCAGATTTTTCGAAGAAAATTGTCATTTATGGTGAGGTTTTAGTGTACTTTAGTATTTTTAAAATAATATTTCCGTTCTACTATTAGGAGATCGAAAAATTAAGAAAATTTCAAAAAGTGTACTTTGGCCGGCGATAGAAGGCAGCAGGCAAGAGTATGTGGCAAGTTCGAATAGCGGGAAAGTCTTGTTTTGCATTAATATTAAATAGAACTTCCCAATAACAAATTTTCTCTTTTATCTTTTATTTGTTTCTCGCTTTCAACCATCACAATACTGCTTTCTGTGGTACTGAAAATCATTGCGTAATCGTATAAAATAATCTGCAGATGAATTTAAAGAGGGGAAACTGCACAAAATTTCCGAAAATGTATTTTAGTGTCAAAAAATCTCTAATTACTATACCACTTTTTCCATTTTTTTGTGTTTGTTTTATTTCGACGTCGACGACGACGAAGAAGAATTTTGATTTTATAAAATCTGTCCGATTTAAAACACTTTTATTCAGAATCACATTTCAATTGAATCCTTCACCACGTTGAAGTCAGTTTTTCGCAATGGAGTCCCTGTTACGTCGCTGTTGCGACTGCTAGCGCTCGTGCCATCATTAGTGCTTCTTGTTAATGTCTCTGTCGCCACACTTTGTACAGTCGTAATCGTGTGCATTGTTCTTTGCTGGAAGTCTAGTCGCAAGAGTAAAAGGGAGGAGTATAGTAAAATTACAAACTTACAACGGATTAAGTTTAGTTATACTCGGTCATTGTTTATTAATATATTTGAAATTTTTAAAAGTATTTCGAGGAATTCATGCTTTTTCCTTATATTTTGGGCAACTTTAATATTCGTGAAATGCAAATTTATTATCGCTGTTCAGAAATTATAAGTGTGTGATCTTTCATGTACGCATGATATAGTAGTATCTCAAGCTAATAACAGAGAGAAATGTAATTATACTTGTTATGAATGAGAAAAAAGTTGACGTTTCAAGGTCTGTGAAAACTATACAAACGATTATCTTATGCACTCTGCAATCAGAACCAATAGTACAATGACTACGTGAGGGTATATCTTCTCAACAACCTATTGTTGGTTCGAGTTTGCCGAAAAAGCAAATTTTAAATAAAAAGAGTAAGATTATATGTTTTTGCAGCGTAAAGGTAACGGTACATCACAAGTAAGTTTTGCCATTGGTTAATTGCGTCTGTTGTACTATCCATTGAGAAAATATTACTTTAAAGCTTTTTTATTTACGATATTTTTCACATGACGGGAAATAGATAATAAGAGTTACTATCCGCGTTGCAGAGTAATCTGAAGTGTAATTACTTGATTCAAGTTGCGTTTGAAACAAAACTTGCCGCAGTAATGACCATTCAAGGGAGTAATAAGATATTAGGAAAGGTGGCCTTACATGACTAATAAATAAAACGCATCAAAGTTACATTAAAATGACCGAAATATCAAAACAAAAACAGGTCGAGGTGACTGTAAACAACACTTATTGCCCTGCGTTTCTGTGCGGGAGGTCGTAGGTCTCGAAAGCCGACGGTGGCCGAATTTCGACACTGTCGATGTAGCTAAGTCGAAATCAGCAGCTGTCTGGACGACTTGTAGCGACCAGCTGCTTTGATTTATTCCCCGATGGAATGACGGATCAGCTCCACGGGCGAACTCTTCTTCCTCCTCTTTCCCCCACGACAAACGGCCAAATGTAATCGCAATTTCATATTCCATGTGTGTTTTATTTTTATACAAATGATACCTATTTCCGATGGCTCATCAAGAACGTTTTACGTTACTTATCATCCATGTTTAACATTTTGTTATCTATATTTCATGAATCATTCATTTACATCAACAACAGAAACACGTGTGATGTCACACAACAGGAAAGACAGCTAAACGTCAAATTAGTGTCCGGAGTCGGCAAATTTCCGGAATCCCGTGGAAAAGGGAAACAATGAATAATAAATGTAAAAATCATTAATGGAACATTGTTTGAACGCCAAATCCCACATTTTATTGTCATATAGCTTGCACACGATTCTGTCTGATTATAAAACAGCATGTCAAATGTCTATTTTTGATATAAAAGATAATCATTTCCAGAGATTTCAACCTCGACATTGATCATCATCTACGTTTAACCTCGCGTTATCTATTCTTCATGAATCATTCACTTACATAAACAGCAGAACCGTATGTGAAGTCACACAGTAGCTCGGAAAGCTTGAACGTCACAGATGACGTCCGGAGTTGGCAAACCTGCGGGATGCCGGGGCCCTTGGAGGCGAGTGGCGAATTGGTGTGGGCCTGCCAACCTCCCTCGCCAGCTTCCAGGAAAGTGGCAGACGGGTTTCTAACTTGGGTTCGCGGCCGCGGCCTTCACACTTCAGCTCCTTTTCCCTCGCGCACGCGAATCCAAACGATCATTAATATTATTTTTCGCCGACGAAGGCCTACCGGACGCGGACAGCCCCGTAAATTCTCAAAGCGGTTGCAGCAAATAGGAATTGTAATTTATTTACGCATACGAGTTCGAGAAGTTGAGTGGCGAATCGCAATGTACCACAGAACATGTACTTTTAAAAATACTGTGTGTGCGCGGCAGTGGTGCCCTTAGGCAAACATGCTCCGCCTGCACAAGCAAACGGCTTGAAACATACCACGGGACGAATCGTGAGAAAAAGAGTTAATGTATAAAAGATGACGTCATTGGTTTTTTCATGTGCACAGTTTCTTTGGAAAGCAGATTATTTGTTGGCATCCAGAGGACGTGGACAAGTATGTCAGGTGGAGTGTGAAGAACCATGACTTGCTCTGTCGACAGACAGACGTCTCCGTAGGAGGAAGAGGGAAGATTGCCGTGACGTCACGTGCACAGGAATCTCCGTGATGTTTGAGGGGAGTGAGCAGTGGCTGGCTGCTCAACTGAAAGGAAATGGTTGGTGGCTGCGGCCGGTAGTGGCGGGGAGCTCGAGGAAAAGTTTACTTTCTTGTGTTTGGTCGACCCGCAGAGGCGGTCGCTCTAGACGTCTAGGAAAATGTATGCAAACAACCGCATGATTCGCGGAGAAGAAATCTGCGGAAGTTTGAGGTAAGCTTTTTTCCATCTTTAAATCCAGATGAAACACAAAAGTATTACTGGGAATTACTCATTCTGATTCCATTAAAGGTTTGAAGTTTTAATATCACAGTACGTGTACAACAGCCCACAATTTCCAATAAACGACTGTTGAAGACTACAATTATTCCTGGAATGTCTGTTGTAGCAAATCGATTGACATATTTTAGTACCAATATACAAATTAGACAATTAAAACTTCCACTTATTCTGTTTTGAACACTTCGGACTCGTCAGTTGTAGTTGTTAGCTTCGAAATAGTATTTTTTTCTTTTAATGATATTGTAAAGAATTGTTTGTTTTTTAATGGAACACTTACGTTTTTGCGGAAATAAATAGGTCTTGAGAAGTCAACCTCAACAGTACAACGTATACTGCTATATGATGCATAAACAGCACAAAAGAGAATGCAAACCGGATGGGAACAGCAAGTAAACGGAAGCGCGCCGGGAAGTACAATGGCCATGACGAAACATCGATGTTTCCCTCTGAAGAAATGCCCCGGCAAAGGCCCTGAATGTTACAGTTATCGAAGTATAATTTTTCAGTTCACTTTTCCTAAAAAAAAAGTAATCAATCGAACTAACAAGGAAATCACCTGTTTGCTCTCATTAGACCTGCCGTCGTTAGGCAGATTAAAATATTTTCGACTTAAAAAAGCGTTGAATTTGTATTATGTGTATGTAATAGCGTAAGTCTTGCTAAATACACTCTACAGTTAATATTAGGACGTTGTTTTTTTTATTATTGTGCGTGAAAATCACAAGGTGATCACGTTTTCTCTGCTGTGACCGGTTTGGGTAGGTCACCAAAAGGCAGCAAAAACAGAAATAACCTTCTGCTTTATGTGAAAATCGCGCCATTCCAGAACAAGTATGAATTCAACTGAATGCAACTGAATTACAACATGTGTTTGACATCTTAAACCGTGGCGTTTTGAACTGGCGAACGATAGACCCCCTGGAAATTATTAGAAATTGAGCCGTGATGCGAACTTCCGAAGCTGCTATAACGCCGCGCTTTAAAACAAGTTAGTGTTTACAATTACTCTTTAAATATCATCATATGTAGTATTTCTGAAATCGTCTTCTCAAAATCTATCTATTCGTATAAAAAAGTGAGATGATTTATGTACAAACGATGTTAGTACAATATCTTGAAAATAAAATGCTATCAAAAAGCTAAGTACATCTCATGAGGCTATACGTCTTGAATCGTTTAGTAAGAAGTCCATCTCTTTATTTCGTTTAGACTTTTTTCGAGGTAGAGTATTGAAGAACCTTGTACGCCTGAGACTTTATCTTTTGTCAGTTTCTCTTCCTCTTTTTTTTTTTTTTTTTGGAAAGGTACTTTTTTAAATCATCGAGTCTGTTGAACTTTTCCTCCTATTTCATTACGTCATCTTGCATCTACTCGAGTATGTATGCAATATATTGCATCGTTTGTAAGAAAAAAATCTTCTCATTAAGAAAACTCCTGAAAAACTCATGAAAAGTAATAAGATTGATTTCAATTATAATATAATTGATTATTAATCGGTTGAATAACCTTTGTATCAGTTAAATATCGGAAAAAGGAAGTTTATTACTATATTCATTCAAACCAAAATAATGAAGAGAGGAGATGTATTCCCATAAAATGCTCGTAAAAATGTATTACATATCGGTATAAAAGCTGAAAAACCATTCATGAAGAATTTTGTGTCCTAATGCGAACAGTGAAATCATCGCAAATTTACCATCATGATTATTTAGCAAAGACCGGCTTATTTTCTCTGATAAGTTTACAGCCTATACTATTTCTTAAATAAATCATCTTCGTGCAATAACCGTGAATGAATTGGAAACAAAAATAATAATGAAGTGATATATAAAAATTAAAAAATAATAATGAACATTGGAGCGATTTTCTCAGTGATTGTAGTATTGAGAAAGTTAGGAGATAATTCAAAATTTAAGTAATTAGTGGCTAACGATCTCATAGAAAAATGGTGAATTAATTCATTCGCCAATGGCGAGTTAACCTGAATAACCTGAGTTTGAGTATCGACGCGCAAAAAAATTGCTGTTTGAGTTTGCTGTTTAAGAAGTAATATAATACAGCCCAGCAGTTAGAAATAACACGAGAAAGCATGTGCTGTTGTCGCACCACTAGTTCTCAATGCGAGCGGAAGGATACGCAGAAAAGAAGTTGACAATTTTTTTACACTTATGCATTAGCAGAAAGGGCTTAATCAGAATTAATATGCGTCTTTACGCCATCGCCGGAGACAATACAGTAAAGGTCACGGACACTCCTAGAGGAAAAGCGGCAAAGGAGGCTCAGGGCTTGAGGTCACTCCAGTGCCTCTGACCTGGTGGTTGTAAGTTTCGAGTCCCAACGATTATAGGGTTTTCGGTTCTAGCTAGGTGGCTAGGCCAAATTCAGCCGCTATCTGGAGAAAAGTTCTAGCGGCCGGCTGCTCTGATAGGTAGTTAACCGTGGTTCCTCGCATCAATATCAGCCGAATGCCGGAATAGTACCGTATCAAACGGGCCGCGGATCGCTCTCGCTCTTTCCTTCCTTTTCCGTAACCAAACCTCACCCCTTACGTACACACACACTTACATGCACTACTCTACCACAGTTGTCGAGATATCAGTCGGGGACTTAAAGCGTTTACCTGATGGTATTTGCGCAGCTGATACGAGATACCTGGTTGGGGAAATCCTCGCAAGCCCACGCGGCCCTCGCCCGAACTCGCCATCCTACGGGGGGAGCTCACTACCACCAGCTCCCGCGATAAAAACATGCATTACACTCACGAGGCTAGTGGCCTTAGCAGTTGACGTGCGCGGAAACACTAATCAGCCAATCGACTGAAATTTAATATTGTTTTGTCTTAGATCCAGACCGCCGGCTCTAAATTCGCAGATAAGGAAATTACACTAAAAATTCTATTTTGTTTCGATTGTTTCATACTTTGCATGTATTAAGATGAGATAGCACTATCGACCTTGAATCTATAAAGCTCTTGCAAAAGCTCTGAAGTCATAATGGATGACCTTAAA